CCCCCATCTGCCCCCCCAGGCTGTCGGAACAACCTCACCGTCTCCTCCAACTGGACGTCCCCCTCAGCCCTGACCCTCCACTGCCAGCGCTGCCCCCTGCTGGCTGGCTCGGCCTCCTTCCGCTGGTTCCTCAACTCCCAGCCCCTGGGCAACCGGGGCTGGGCTACCAAGAGCCAGCTGGGGGCTACCGTGAGGCTGGACCCGTCCCGGCGCGGGGCCTGGGGGCGCTGGGAATGTCACCTCCTCGGCGCCTCCTCTCGGGGCTTTGAGTTCTGCCTGGAGCCCCCCCTCGGGGCAGGAGGCACAGGTAAGATAGTGCCGCACATCCTGCACCCCCCCACACCTGCCCCACGGTGTCCTCTGCTGGCCCTGACCCTGCCTCTGTTCCAGGCTCCAGCTCTGAGTGGGGGATCTGGGTTGTGGCGGCGGTTCTGGGTCTGATCGGCGCAGGGCTGGGCGCTTGGCACCTGTGGAGGTGGAGACGGATACGGGGCAGGTGAGTTGGGGACCCAGAGTCCGGGGAGCAGCACCCCCAGCAGGGGATGGAGAGGGAAGAGAGAGGGACCCAGGAGTCCGGGGAGCAGAGCCCCAGCCCAGGGTGGAGTGGAAGAGGGAGAGACCCAGGAGCCTGGGGAGTGGTAGCCCCACAGGGTGGGGGAAGGGACCCAGGAGTCCGGGGATGGGGGTGGGGAGAAATGTGTTTTCATCGTGTATCTTTCCCATTTTCTTCCTTCAGGAACCGAAGGAATCAAAACAAAAAAGAGAACAAAACAGGTGAGAGAGAGAAATAAAAACAACCCCCCGGCCACAGGCCCGTTACCCCGGTATGCCACCGCTCCCACCATAGGTCAGAGACATGGACCCAGGTATCCCACCGTTCCCACCATAGGTCCGAGCCCTGGACCCAGCTACCCTGGTATCCCGCCTCCCCAGCTGAGTGCAGAGCGGATCAAAGATCTCCTTCCTGAGTAGCCGGGTCCATAACCTTCCCAGCCATGTTCAATCTGTAAGGATCCAGTGATGGGTAGTTCCACAGGTCAACCGGCTCCTTGGTTAGATCCCCCCCCCCGCACTATCCCATCCCTCTTCCCTCTTGATTTTCTCCTTCTCTCCATCCTGTGCCAAGGAGCCCCCGGGCCCCGTTTATGCCCCTTGGAAGAGCCACGGCTTGGAGCCAAATCGACCGAAAGACGCCTCGTGCCCCAGAGTCGGGAAAGAAAAGTGAGGGGGGGGCAGGGCAGGGCTGGCAGGGGCTGCGGGTCGGGAGTGAGGGGCACCGGCAGAGCTGGGGGGAGGCAGAGCTGGGCTAGCAGGAGGCTGCGGGTCGGGAGTGAGGGGCACCGGCAGAGCTGGGCGGGGGGAGGCATGGCTGGGCTGGCAGGGGCTGTGGGTTGGGAGTGAGGGGCACCAGCAGGGCTGGGGGGGGCAGGGCGGGGCAAGCAGTGGCTGTGGGGCGGGAGTGAGGGGCACCAGCAGAGCTGGGGGGCAGAAGGTCGCAGGGGGAAATCTCTGTAACTTCTTACCCCTTCTCTCCCCAGGTCCCAGGCACCCTGCTTTATGCTGAAGTCCAGCACCCCCTGGTGGCTCGAGCCCCAGCCCCTCCCCCACACGGTGCCACGGTCTATGCCACTATTGTCTGACCCCCACCCACCCTGGCTCCGCTCCCCTCTCCTCTCCACCCCCTTCATGAGTTGCATTCACACCCCTGGCTCCCAGGTGATGGGAAATTCAGCTGGAAGATGCTAGAAATCTCTGTTAAAATCCTGTGGTGGGGAGTTCCGCAGGTTAAC